GTGGCTCGGGAGCAACCGGTAGCTCGCCAACCCCTTTCAGATAGCTCAGCAAGGGATTTAGAGTTTAACATATGATCTTGAATGAATACATTTTGAGTCATTACATATCTATTAAAAGTTTACGATAGGGTTATACAGGATTATTGTATATTTTACATGTTTTGTCGTAAGTATCACATAGATTTTTATTACGACTGCAAAAGGGAGTAGCTCTCTGCCTTTTCTGTTGTATGAAAGTAGCTCTCTGAATGAAAAAGGTTGGAGACTTCTGCTGTAAATATATACCATGTTTGTGCTGATGATCAGAATCAGAATCAATGTATTGCCATTTGCAGAAAAAACTACATTGGAATACAAACAGGACACATCGGGGGCACCAACACCACAAAGCACACACACACACAGACAAAAAGAACAAAAACAGCAAGGCAATCCACAGTGAGTCACATATAAAACTCTTAAAAGCATTATTATGAAGCTACTTTTTAAGAAGCTATGAAGGAGCTACAAGGAGAAGCAGATCTTCAGGTATGATGAAGGCAGAGGGATCAACAGTAATACCATTTCAATCTGTTTTGTGAAAGAGGGGTCTGTAAAGTAAAAGCATCTGCCCCTTTCTGATCATGAAAATGTTTGAAGAATTGAAAAAAAAAAAAAATTAAACAGAGTATGTTACCTGTATAACTATGCATTTTCATGGAAAGAATAAAATCACCTATAACCTTTGTAAATCTATTCTGTTTTCACAGTAAAAATGTTGCATGTTGTATATTGTATGGATATATTTTCCTTTTTTCAGTCTGTACTAATTTCTTAAGCATGGAGCGAGAATCCCCATTTTTATTGATTTAGCAGCAGATGTTGGGAGCAGTGTCTTGTGTCTCAGGGCTGGTATCAGGCAGCCCTCAGATGTGGCTGGAGGAGAGAAAGTGGACTTTGAAGTACCCTGCAGACCAGAGGGAGGTATTTGGTTCAGGTTTAGAGTTGCGGCCGCAAGGAACAGGGGAAGAGGAGGGGCACAAGGAAAGGCGGAGTGAGAAGAGGAGACAACAGCCTTTTGAAAGCAGGCACCTGTACGTCTGAGGCCTGAAACAACTGCTACATTCCCAGGGGAAAAGTGGATTCAACTGGAGAAAGTCAAGCGGTGTGCACTAAGAGAGGCTCATGCTCGACCCATAACACTATCCATTAACTCTAGAAATCAATGCTTCATAATGTCCTTTAATTATCTCATCAAGAAGCAGTGATAATTATTCATAAAGTGGACCCTAGAGAGAACACAAACCAGTTAAGCTGTTAAAATTACAGGATGTTACGAAGCCACAGACGCCCATTGTGACGTAAAAAGCCAAAAACTCTCTGTTACCAGCAGCCAAACAAAAAGCTCTTCTCTCTCTAGTCCATCCAGGACAGCAGAAGGAAAAAGATTAAATAAGTAAGTTATATTCATTTACAGACCAGAGTCAAAAAGCCCTTTACAATTGTTGTGGGCATCTGTCTCTCACTCCAGACAGAGATGGGATTGGGTTCACCACACAGAAGAGGCATGCAAGACCTATTGTACATATTTTTAGTGGTATAGGGAAACCAGAGGACCCGGAGGAAACCTACGCAGACGTGAGGAGAACATGCAAACATCCACACGGAAAGGATTGAAGTGGAATCGAATCCAGAACCTTCCTGCTGTGAGGTGCAAGCGCTAACCACTGCGCCACCGTGCTGGCCAATGAGTAAATGAAAATGAATACAAAACCATTACCCCAGTTTGTGGAAGGAGTGCTGCAGTCCTTTAAAAATGTTTGTTTTGTACATCATTAAGAAAGGGGCAGGCAACATACCATTTTTTCATTTTCATTAGTGTGGCAGGACTGCATTGGTTTGAAATGGTAAAATGTTGTATTGTACTGTGAAATTGAAATAAATAAATATCAGATTGATCCAAGTCAAATCCAAAAATGCGGTGCACACTGGGGTACTTTATTACAATGTGGCTTCTTCACTAGTCTGTATGAAAAAGCTGATCTCATGACGCCAACAATGGATGAATGCAAAAACTAGAGATAGAACTAAAATTATTTAAGAGGGAGGATTTTTGATTGAGCTTTAACTCCACTGCTGCTGTTTGTCATCCATCTGTAGTCATTAATGGTTGTGTTCACAGACAACCGAGCTGGTTAGGGCACTATTGCTTCAGAGCCACTTAAAAAAAAGCCCTCTGGAAATCTTTTGTAGGCAACTTACTCCCTCTATTGGTCACACATTTACATTACATCTTGATCTTTACCCACAAAGTAAAGCAGTTGTTTGTTTTGATTATTGGGTCTAGGATCCAAGGCAATATTTATATTTAAAGGAAGATCCATGAAGAGTCTCAAATATGGCCTGGAGTCCAAAAGCGAGAGCCTTTACTGGCCCTCAGGCTTCCTGGTGCATTGTCCAGTGTTGGGCAAGTTACGTTAAAATTTCTAATTTATAGGCATAATATATTAAAAGTTACAGTACAGATGAATATAGATGGATAGTTGGTTTAATTACACATTGAGTTGGGTGAAAAACAAAACGCTTAACTTATTACATTCATTACATTCATTACAATTATTAATTATGTTTAGGAGTTTCGAAACCTTTTGGGTGTAATTGTGACATGTTTTTAAAAACACAAGGAGGTTGATTTTCATAACATTTTGTCATTTTGATTATAAACAGTAATATGTTACAAACTGTAATATTTTTATTTAGGTACTTTAAAGAATTATAACCCTAACCCTAACTAGTTACAATGTTCTAACTAGTTGATGAGTTATTCTTGACACCAACATTGGCCTACATATTTCTGACACTAGCCTTCTGAACTAGCATTAAATGCATTATTGGACTTTCAAATGGGGTAAAGAGCTTTTTAGGGAAATTCCCAGCACTACCCATCAATATTTGGCTCCTGCTACAGTATAGATCAACCTCATGCTGGTGATGGGCGGCCAAATGCCCTGTTTTTTTCATCTCATTCCAAGAGAGAATCTACATTTTCCATGTAGATTTTGCGTAGGGCTCCCATGGGAGTTGTCTGACAATAGCGGGGGCAGGACTCTTGCTTGTGTTTAAATGATAAATGTGGATAGCCCTTCTTTATATGGCTAATTTGTGTATCTCTGACAATACAAAATGTAGATTACAACAGTGCATGTTGGTCACGACACAGAAACAAAACAAAACGCTTTCTCAGTACGTCAGCACTTTATTGAACTCTTTCGCACAACACTTTTCTGCACAGACATCAGATTTTAGGGTGACTCTTTGGTCTTCTCCCACAAATCATCATAAAGCACAGAAAGTATTCCCTCTTAACATCTCCACTTCGCTTTATTATACTGGAATAACTTTTGAATTGTTAATCTCGTGAAAGATTTATCTTGTAAATGATTGCAAACGGCTGTAAAAAGTTAAAAGCAACCTTATGGAATGCAGGTGGCAAGCGCACATAACTTGTAATATAAATTCAAGCAATATCAAATGCGATGTTCTTTTTTGTTGTTTAAATTTGCACAAATTTTCTGTTTAAAAACTTTTTTCAATTACTGTCATGTTCAAGTCCAAGTATCTCCGATTCCTCCTTCCAAAAGTTCAGACAGATGCCACTAGTGCTTAGTTTCTGCATCTGCCTTCATGGACGAAGAAGGAAGCAATATGGAAATTCTGAACCATTGAACATGACAATAATATGTTCCACTGCTGAGAAAGGACCGGAGGAACCCACACTCCTAATTTGTTTGTAGATATGACTTACATTAAGTATAATATGACAAAAAATCTCCCATAACAAAATAAGTAACTGGATATGGAAATGGGATACGCCAATACATCAAATAGGATGTAGACCACAATTATCTTTTATTCGGAAAAAATAATTTGTTCCAACCGAATCTGAATCCATTTTGAGAAAGCTGAACTACTCTTTTAATATCCATGTGTTAATGTGTTTGATGGCTTATTCAATGCAACAGATGGATCCTTATAAAGTCTTACAGTTGAGCTTGAAGTTCACACACAGATAAGAATGTCAATTTTTTTGGGCAATATTTTGGAGATTATAAATGATAACTCAATTTTGTTTACACTTATTGTAAGTGGGTGTGTGAAGCCATATATTGTCAAATAAATGAATACATGTGTTATATATATTCAAATTATAACGGCAGCAGAAACTATACTCTTCTGACCCTGATTCCATTTCCCCTTTAACATCATGTATGAGGTTCTTTATCCTCTCTGATGGTAAAGCAGTCCATTCATCTAAGCATAAAGCCTCTTGTCCTTTGTAAATTCCTGGGCCGCCTTGCATGAGCTGCACGTTTGAGATCTTCCCAGCTCAGTGATGTTATAATTTGAAAATAGAAAACATTTATTTATTTATTTGACAATGGATGGATTCACACAACTAATAACAATGAGTGGAAAAACAGCTTTTTGCGTTATCATTTATCATCTCCAAAAGATGGCTGAAAAACAGTAACATTTTTGCCTGGGTGTGTAAACCTTCAAGCGCAATCTTTTCAAATCGCTGTATTATTTGTGAGTGCCTCCGTCCTCTCTCAGAGTAAATACTAGTTGGTAAAACGAGCCATGATGACCCACGGTGTGCAGACCGGAGCTGGTGTTAAATATGAAACAGCTTACATATGCTGTCATTCTCAGCTCTGCACATGTGGGGGTCAGGCTCAGGGGGCTGCTGGCGCTGGTTGTCAGGCAGCAGGGGGCGCTCGTCACTGTCAGGTCTCTGTGACAGTGTTGATCTCAGCGCCTGTCTGCCTGTGTCACCGTCAGGAGGCCGGCAGGGCGTCCTCACAGTGTCACAAGCTCTCAGGCACCTGCTCGCCCCCTGGCCCAGCCTCGCCAAACAGCCTCCGTCAGTGTCAACATCAGCTGACTTTAGGAGCGGCCTGGTTGTCAGAGGCGGCTGTCTGCTGTCAGCTGTGCTTGGATTTTCATTTCTTTTCTGCAGCTCAGGGTTTGTGCATAACCTGAGGCTCCAGTGCTACCTGTGCCACCTGCTGCATCTGGCTAAGATCAAAATCGCCCTGGCCCTGATGGATAACTTGCTGCTGCTGGCCGTGGTGCTGCTCGTGCCCGTCATGGCGGCCCAAAGCGGGGGGATGGTGCCCGTGGTGGTGGTGCCCGGGATGTTCTGGGAGCCCGTGGTGGTGGTGCCCGTGGTGGTGGTGCCCGTGGTGGTGGCGCCCGGGATGTTCTGGGAGCGGCTCCACAGCTGGGTTAGCCTCAATGTCCGGCTGAACCTCAGTTGCCCGTTCTTTGCACTCCTCTGGGGTGACCGAGCTCTGAGTCTGAAAATGTAAGCAACATTTATGAAGTTATGTTTGCATTCTTTTTCAAAACCAAAAAGCTTGATCATGAATAGTTACTTTGTCTATAATTGCAACAACAAAAAAGACATATGAAAAGATTGGGAAGATGGAAAAAGCTACAGTGTTGCTCGGGTGATACCTCATAAGTGCAGTCTCCACATATGCGTGTGCAGTAGGTGTCTCGAATCGCTTTCTCAACATGACCCTGCCCTATGATGGAATATGGAAGTGAAATATGGCTGGTCAAGCGTCCACATCTGAGAAAGAAGGCATTACAAGAATTACAAACATTAAATGGAAAATGAATGGTAATTTTTTGCCTACTTATAGACCTCTAACCTGTCATAGATGAGGAAGTCATCCTTCGCTCCTTTCAGGATCTGCCACACATCGGGCTGATCCTCTGCCTGTTTGTGTAGTGTGATGTTTGCTGTCAGCTTCTGTGCCAACAGGGAGTGGAGGCGCTGTGCTTGTGCCCCCTGGTGGTTAATGACCATGTACTCGATGTTCTGAAGACCCTGCTTCTCCAGCTTCTGGCGCAGGCCGTCCATTCTAAAGATAAATGTATCAATAATATGACTTTTGTTGTATTTCATAAATTTCAGATCAAAAATGTAATATCATGGGGTAATGTCTTATTCATATGGTGTATATTGTTAAACTAATGCATATCCATTGATACATTCAATAGCAATGACAATTTTTTTAAGTAGTTATGAGATTGGCAATGGTTCTATGCCGATCTTATAACCACTTAAAAAATAAACATATTAAGTAATTTAAATGGTGAAATTAAAGTCCTCAAGAATGCTGTATGTATCAGGAAGCTGAAAACTCTGAATACCTGTTATTGAACTTTGTGTCTGTTACTAAACTTGCATTAACACGCTCTCAATTACTCATATAGGCCCAAGACTTCAGTAGTATTGGATAGGGTGTGTACCTGCCAGCCTGCACCAGACAGAAGAGTCAGCTGGCCTGGAACAGTGCCACCACAGTCACCTTGCCCATGGCTGCCCTCATGGGCTCCACCTCTCCGATTGTCCAGGTGGGGGGCGTCTGACAGCGTGGCCCCCCTCCCTCGCTCTCAGCCCAACCCCCATGGAGCAGGCCAAGAGCGAGGAGCAGGCTTAGCCGCGCCCACATCCCCCTCTCTGTCTCTGCACAATCTGCTGACCAGAAAATCAAGGGAAGGAACATTTATGGAGTGAAATAAGAGAAGATGGGAGGAGAGAAAAACAAGGATTGGTCGCATGTTAGTACAAAAGGTCAACTAAAGGGTTTACATGCTTTTTCATGTTTGCAATTTTTGCTCAATTTACACTACAGATGTGTTCAACAAGTGAACACCAAAAATAAGTGTGTATGAGTGAACTACTTTAGAATAAACAAGTTGTAGTAATGCAGACATACCATCTAATGCTTATCTTATGGTGGCATGATTAAATCTCGAATAAGTCTAGTCTACTTGTTAAAGCATGTAGTCTTGTGTGACATACCGTGCAAAACACTTTACTTGTGCTTGCTAAAAACTATTTCCATCATGAGTATCTAATCATTACATTCTTAATCATACTTTAACCCAAAATGTCACAAATAATGAGATTGAGCAGGTTTTTGAACTCACCCCTGAAAAAGAACTCCTCTCCGTAGTACGCTGCTTTGAATGCTCGAACAAAAACAAGTCTCTTCCTCAAGCGCTCCCCCTTTTATAGCCTGCCCCTGTTGTTGTGCTGTCAAGAAGGAGGACAAAGTTCAGTCAAGGCTAACTGCTGATGCAAACAGTTTTAATCTTTTAAAACATACAAATATGGGTAATTCTGATATTTTAAAAGCTTTATTACTTACTCAGCAAATATATTATATTTTCCAATATTTGAAATGGAAAAAAAGCCAAACATTAGTTATTTAAACGGTGCAACATATTAGGTTTGTGGAAATGGAAGCCCACTCACAGCAAGCATGAAGGATTTTATACTTAAACCAACAAATATTCAGATTTTAGCCTTTAAGCTGGGGGGGTAGGGGCATTTTTGATGACACTGCAGTATTAAAATTAGTGCTTTCCATTGGACTTGCTCACATATAATTTGAAACAATCCAATTCTTTGGTCACAGTTTGAGAACGGCTGACCTGACCTGGTCAATGAGTTACGTGAGCAACCTGCAATAAATCTGAGCTATAGCCACAACAACGTTACTTATTTACAGAATTTATAACGCTAAAGGTAACTTGGCTAAGACCACAGTGACAGAACGTTAAGAATTTAACGTGAAGCTTGTGACCTATGACTAGGTTCGAAAGTACAACACACTGATGATTAATAATTTGCAAGATGCCGCATATTAAACTAAAAAGCCAAACCTCAACAGAAACGGAATCAAACATGCACTACGGTAAACTCCAAACCATAGCTAGCAAACATATATACTGATATTCAGCATATGCACAGATATGTCGCACTTCCGCGCACATGTGTTTGGGAGCTCAAGACCAAAACATCTGTCACTAGGCAACGGAGCGCGGCGTCCGTGGGCTCGCAGGGACTTGTGGGATATTGAGTCCTGTAGTAAAACGACCGCCCTCCTCTGAGCTAACAGCGGAGCAGTTAGCTTCACGCGTCGGAGAATTTGGGCCTCAAACTACTCTTCGCAAGTGCAGCAGTCGAACTTTAGGTATGTGTATGCGCTGTTTCCAGTGTTATTGAGTTGTCCTTCTGCTCACAACGGAGAAATGCTCTTGGAAAATTAGTATTTTAATGCGCGGTTTGATGACGTAATGTTGCTGGTCAAACACGAAATGGCGAGGGCGCAAAAGAGGCCCGTGACTGAAGGTTCATTGGGGATATTCTATGCTGACTTTTCTGATTTACGCCATCCGTGACTGTAACATGGGTCCATGTTATTCTGGTAAGGGTATTATGTGTAGTAATCTAGTACAAAATATTAGTTACTTTAACGGAGGCTACAATTCTAGAGGCGCTAAAGCTAACTACACCAACGCTAACTGTAACACATGTGTTGTTAGTCATCTGAGACTGAGACGCTCATCATGTCTGCTTGATATTTACAGATCAGAATTCCACAAACTATGGCAGAGGTAGAAGTGGAATTGGATGATTGCACGCTATATCCAGATCATTATAAAGTCGTGTTGGACAAACTTAACGAACAACGACAGCTGAATAAGTTCACTGACATTACGTTGATAGTGGACGGTAAGTAACGCCATAATTTATGTATATGTAGGTACTGCTGTTTTCATTTCTCGTCTATTGTATTAATGTATGTATTTTATATTGTAGGACACCAATTCAGAGCCCATAAAGCTGTCCTGGCCGCCTGCAGTCAGTTTTTCCATAACTTTTTCCAAGATTTTACCCAAGAGCCCTTGGTTGAGATTGAAGGTATTCCATAATTAAACTAAAAACTATCATCTGCTGTTTGTCAATCTGCTGTGTGATGTATCTCATTCAAAGTATATAGTAAAATTAAGTGAAAATACAGACAAGTATTAAGTAAAGGATTTATGATTTAAAAAAACAAACAATACTTTTCCTTTTTCTTTAATCTATAGGAGTCAGTAATGCAGCTTTTCGTCAGCTGATGGAGTTTACATACACCGCCACTTTGGCTGTAACTGGTGAAGAGGAGGCAAATGATGTGTGGAAGGCAGCAGAGTATCTCCAGATGCATGAAGCCATCAAAGCGCTTGATGGCAGGTAATATTCTTGAGCATGAAATTCTTGGTTATAGCTCTCACTGGTACAACTCGTAACTTAATACCTGGTGTTTATTGTTTGTTTACTTTTTAGGGCCAATGACAATTCTACAAACACAAAGAGTAAGGCTAAAAAGAGAAAGATTGCAGAGACTTCAAATGTGATCACGGAAACTCTACCAACAGTAGAAGTAGAAGAACAGGTCAGTTTTGTAATATATTGAACAAGAAATATCAACCAGATAATACGTAAGCTGTCATATGCCAGTATTTGATCGGTAAGCTTTGAACGGGAAAAAAAAGTTGTTTTGCAAGAAAAAGGGGAAATTATTAAACGTTCTTTTAATTATTTTAAATGACATTATAAAATAAAACTTTATCAAATATAATTAAATAGAATAGCTTTGCTTGTGATATATATAATTTTATGTTACCAAGGGCTTTGGGTACGATATCTGTTCAGCCCTCAAGTTAACATATCTAAGCAATCCAAGTTTGTGCATTACATAATTTAATGTTTGCCTTTTGAATGTTACACAATAAAGTTATTTTGAACACGTACATGAGAAATGAAACTGCTGGAGGACAGCAGTTTCATTTCTCCTCAAATCTTTCAAATCAGCAGCAAATCTGTCTTATCATTAACTTGCAACATTTATGCACTTTAATTTGTAGGTTGAGTTTTGATTTTACATGTGCATACACAGGTTATACATATTTATATATAAATATATATAGAGAACAAACTTCCTTTCAACTACCCAGGTGAAAATTGAAATAATTGGAGACGTTGCAGTCGAAGAAGTGATCGATACAACAAGGCACTCTCAATCTTCATCTGACGACTCCGCTCTGGCTCTTCTCGCTGACATCACAAGCAAGTACCAACAGGGGGAGCCAACAGTGCAGGTTCTCAAACGAGGAGAAATTGAACAGGTATGTAGTGCTCTTTGAGCAGTGCAATCCAGCCAAACATTTTGTCAATGACATAATCAATCTTTTGCACTTAAAAGGAAATTGCATATCAGGAGGAAACTGTATCTGCCTCTAAATCCCTGGAAGTGGACGTTGTAGAAGTCCAGATTTCTCAAGTGGACAACATATTTCGATGTAGTAAATGTAATCGCAGCTTCAAGTTGTACTATCACCTGAAGCAGCACATGAAGGCACACGTTGGCTCTTTGGAGAAACCACATGTTTGTGGCCACTGTGGAAAAGCCTACACCAGGGAGGGCGCTCTCAAGCAGCATGTCAACACTTTTCATTTCGAGGAAGAAGAACTGCCACTGAACCAAAAGGTGCAGAAGAAAGTGCATGTTTGTGATTACTGCCAAAAGGTTTTTGACCACTTTGGACACTTTAAGGAGCACCTACGAAAGCATACAGGTACATTTCAATGTTAATTTTCTTTTTTGTTTTAGAGCAGGGGTGCTCAATACGTCGATCGCGATCTACCAGTCGATTGCAAAGGTAGTATTGGTAGATCGCATTAAATAAATAAAAAATTACACATTCTAAACAAATATATGCAAAAAACTCCGGGCAAAGTGGAGATTTTTGAAAACTCCGTTAATGCATTTGTGTGTAGAGAGAGATAACCGGAGTTTTGCGTTCTCGCACGCCACAGTACCCCCTAAATTCCTCTGATCACTGAAGCATGGATCATACTACCTTAAAAACTGTTCGCTGTGAGATGCTCGCAGCAGCGCTCCACATCAGAGAGCAGCAAAGTGATCGCGGGGACTCACGCTCGAAAACAACCAAACCAGGACTAAACCAGGACTAAACCAGGACTAAACCAGGACTAAACCAGGACTAAACCAGGACTAAACCAGGACTAAACCAGGACTAAACCAGGGCTGAGGACGGGGTCAGTGCTTGTAAACATACGTCTTTACTCTGAGTGTCTTCTATGACTGTAAAAGTGCCGTTACCGGCGTCTGCATCAAAGCTCCGCCCACTTCCGTGTTTTTCCCCAACGCAGGACAGGACGTAAGAGACGCACATGTTTGGAATGTTACGAATGTGATTGATAACGCAGATGTGTGGATGCAAATTATTTTATAAACTGAGGAGGGGAAATATTTGGATTTAAAAAAAACAGGCATGGCACATGGACATGGCACCACAGTCAAATGACATCTGTGTTTTACTCAGTAATGTTTTACTGACACTTAGGTGACTGCACATGCGCAAACAACCGCGCTCAGTGCAGGAAAGCTAAACCACGACAAACTTGTCAGCGAGTTACCACCAATTTTCCGGACTATGCATCCCTGGCCGATTCAATTCAGTGCAAGTCATCAGAGTAAACTCGGGTAATGACAAAAAATGTACATAGGTAATTGTGTTGTGTTGTGCTATATTGGCTCATGCGGTTTTGCATGTACATAAACATACATTGTAGGTATAAAGAATATGTTTTGAAATAAATATATGATTTGCATTTTTGTAGTAGGTAGATCATTTTGACTTGATCCTTTTATAAGTAGCTCGCATGCTGAAAAAGTGTGAGCACCCCTGTTTTAGAGAGTACAAATACTAAAAAGTTATTCATCTCATTTCAAGGTGAAAAACCTTATGAGTGTCCTGACTGTCATGAAAGATTTGCAAGAAATAGTACGCTGAAGTGTCATATGACGGCCTGCCAGAACGGAGCTGGAGCCAAAAAGGGACGCAAGAAAATCTATGAGTGCCAGGTATGTTAATGGTAAACTGCAAATCATTTTGCGATTGTATCTTGGTGAAAACATGAACAGAAAACAGGCTAATCTAGTATTTAATATATATTCTGAGACAGTGCTAAATCATGATCAAACTGTTACTACCCTCTACTGGCGGCAGTGGTAATTCCAACCTTAAAACATGTTAAACAAGTTAAAGCTGCACTAACTGACTTTGGGATTTTGAAGCCGTGGACTCTCTGGCCTCTCTCTTTCTGCTCCCCTCCCCGCACCCACGAATCTATCGCCCCCCACACACACTCACTGTTGGGACGGAGCTAGTGTCTCCCAATATGGATAATACATGAATATGGATTTGCACGTGGATGACGTGACCATAAAACGATAGAACCGGGAAGCGCGGAGGAATGGGACTTTCTTTTGGATGGCTGTCTCGCTGTGTAAGCAGTAACCGGTGACGAAGACGAGGAAGCTTCAGGTTAGCTCCGCCACGTGTTGTGCTAACTCAGCTGTCTATGCTAACGGACCTGTAGATTTCTCACGAAAGTGGGGGCCAGTGGTCCACTGTGATTGGTCACAATCTGCGACCCGAAACACATTCTCTTCCTTGTTTCATCAAAACTCGATCTAAAATATAATGTCACGCCAGCCCAAATCTGCGCTACTTTTTCTTCAAAAGGACGTATATCCCAATGCACTGCATGGACATGGATAGCTTTTTCGTAATGAATACAAAAATAAAGTCAGTTAGTGCAGCTTTAATGTAAGAATGCACAGAGCAATTTGACCACAGAAATGGTCTTATTTAATTTGGAGAAAATATATTAATTAAAAAGGCATTCACTGCAAAGCTTATTTTTTAAGTAGCACAAGGTTGGTTTGTCCCAAACAAACAAAATGATAGCTTAATTTGTCTAAAAATTGGACTGGTCTAAAGTAGATATATATGTATATATCTACTTAAGACCATATATATAAACATTTCTGTAAATGTAACCGCTGTCTCATGTCTGCCATGTGACATGACCTGGCAGCGGTTAAGGAAATATATATGTATACCTTTTTATAACCAACCTTTGTTTTGGCTTGACAAAATAAAACATGTCTTTCTTACTCTGGCTCTCACAGGTTTGTGACAGCGTATTCAACATTTGGGAGGACTTCAAAGACCATCTTGTGTGCCACACTGGGGACAAACCCAACCACTGTACTGTGTGTGACATGTGGTTCACCTACCCAAAAGATCTCAAAGAACATCTGAAGGAAATCCATTCCATCGAGGATAAGTCCAGTGATGAGCTGGTGGTCCCAGACGCAGCTGCCACTGCTGCATTGACTATAGCTGCTCAGAATATGGAGGCAGACAACGTGATCCTGGAGGATGGGATTCAGATGGAGCACATCACTGTGGAGCCTGTTCATGTGTTGGGGATGGAGCAGACTGCGACGGTGGTGGTGAACGAAGAAGGAATGGCTGAGATGTGTGAAGAGGACATGGAGAGACTGAAGCAGGCTGGGGTGGAGATTCAGGTGGTGCAGGTTGAGAGCCACATGGTCACTGTGGAGGAGGTGGAACAGACTGTTGATGTATGAGGACGCTCGGATCACCTTGGATTTGTATTATTATTTTCCATATTGCACATGGAACTTTGCATGTTATTTCAGGATTTTTGTTGGTAAACTCATTTTCAACTCTGAAATGCAATGTTTATTGACCCCCACAGTTTTTACAGGATTTTGTGTGTCATTCCTTAATATTGTTAGATTACATGGATTATTTATATTAGTCAGATTACATTAATTCAGAAGCGCAGCAGGCTTTTAGAATTTTTTTTAATGAATAAATATTTGTTGAAAAAAACCTTGTTTATAAATATATAATGTACACAATAAATTAAGCTACTTTTGACATACATGTGCATTCCATTGTATGAGTCTGAACATGTCTTTTTGAAGAAAATGCTACTAGAGTTCAATGTAACACATTTGCCAATGGTAAAGTCAGATCGGACTGGCGTGGTGAGTGGACCCTAATTGAAGTGGACTCTGGTTTGTTTGCAGTTCTAAAGGATGATGATTAAGATCCTGTACGTGTACCATTACGTACGTGGCCTTTGGGCCTGAAGGTCGTGGGTTAGAGCCCACCGTGAGACCTACTTCATGACTCTCACTGATGACTGCTGTTGTTGTGTCCTTGGGCAAGACACTTAACCCCACTTTGGCTGAAGCCCCCGCTGAAAGATCTCAGCGGAGCTCTGACTGCCACCCCCAAACCCAGAAATGGATTAAGGGGAAGAAGATGGATGGATGGACTTGTACCATTCTGCAGTTAAAATGTCAAGTTACATTAGGAAGAGAGGCAGAATTCATTTTAAAGTCGTAAGTAGTTGGAGCTGTCACATGCACTGGAAGTAGTTGGCTAAACTGATGCACTTTCCCCACAGGAAGCCGGCAGTTGCTGCACCGCTCCTGGTTGCTATAGGCCCCGCCCTTTTAGACATTCCGGGCACCTCATTGGTTCAACGTGTTCCTTACTTTGATTCTCTTGTTCCCATTGGTCGATCCATGTGCTACTTATGCTAATATACTCCTCCATAGCACAGACACCACAGAAACTGCAGCGACAACCACCAGTGTCATCCCCAGGACGGCGGAGAACAGGAGGCTCAGCCAATGTCAATGCTCGGCTCTGATGTTTCCAAATGGTAAGACTTTGTTTCTAATGTAATATGCTCAACAATCTCCGGCCGTTTGTGGATGTCTAAAGTCAGTGCTGCCTGGAGTTACCACTCACCAATCAGATTGATGTTCAAGTGCACACTGTATGTAGCGTGTACGAGTTACTTTATATATGTTATAGAGCTGAGTACTGTTGCCAAAACAGGATATATATATATATAATATATAGATATTATTGCAAAGAATAAATGTCGTTTCCTTCAGCCGGCGTGCATAACTAACATTGGTCCTATTTTATATATTGTTTCCATGGAAATATTTCATTGGCAGTAATCTATATTTCTAAATGTAGAATGTTCCCAAGTTGGGGTTTAACTTTCCATTACCATGTCCTCATACACGAGAAATATTGAAAAAACAAATCTAAGAGCTTTGACGTATTATGTTTATGTTTACAATACATTGGATTGGATCATAATTGAATTGGTGTTGTTTCCTTAGGTAAAATTCAGACTGGAAAGTGTGATGTGGCAATGCAATGTTATAATCATGTCATGGCAGGACAAAGATGTTCATTCATAAGTTACAACGTTCCATATAATCATGGTATGATTATGGTATAAAGGAATCAATGAACCGTGGACCACAAACCACTCAAAAATATATCTCAAGGTGCCAATTCACCAATGTCTATGTTCAATTTCCAGATCATTCCTCATCCAGTGTTTGTATTCTACCATTATTATGCATCAGGAAGCTGGACCACACGCTTGCATTTACATACTTTTGAAGCTGAAATAGTCCTGATTGTTTTTCGATGTGTTTGATGCTATCTCAGTTGGATATTATGAAACAGCCACTTGTGTTCTCTTCAGTACAGCTCTTTGAAATCCAGTTTAAAAGAAAGATACACTGTTTACTTTGTCCGTGTAATCCCCTAGACATCCAGGTAGGATCCATTGCAGGATAAAGTTTAAATGGACACGGGCAAATGGACAATTGTCAATATTCGAGCCACAGAGAGGAAACAATTAGGCCAGAAATGTGAGAACCGATGGAGGCATTAATATCTTTGCAAGACCAAAAAAATCTTGTACATTTTTATTAAGATTAAGAGATTCTTTATTCGTCCCACAGTGGGGAAATTTCAGTGTTGCATCACAAGTCATAGAAAAGTTGAAAAGAGGCGCACACAGCACAAGATAAGTGAACAATAGCTATACTAATAAAAATAAAACAAAATAGCATCAATAACAATTATAAAATCAAGTATAAAGTATAAATTGAAAATGAAAATAATAATAAGTATAAAATGAAAATAATAATAATAAAAAATAAGCACAAAAGTTTTACATTTGGCAAAATAAGAGGCAAGTATAAAGTACTTCATTTATTAAAGTATTTAATCATATGTGCAATTTGTGTTTTGTGGGTTGTTGTGGAACTGATAACAACGAATATGCACATTGTCTGTCACTAGTATAATAAAAATATCCTCATCCTTAATAGTCTTGAACAGCTTGATTTTCAGCATGGATGACTACATTTAGACCACCAAAAGCTATTTATTCACACATTTATTGTTGTTTTTTGCAACAAGAATGCATTCCACTTTTGAATTATATTTTCTGTAACACACTTTTGATCATCAGTGGTCCGCAGGTGCCGCAGACGGAGCTGCTGAAGTGGCTGCTGATGCCAGAGCTGTGACAGACCTCCCCTCCGCCTTCTGGTAGCCTCACTATTGATGGTTTGGTGAGTAAGGAAACTATTGCATGACATGTAGAAACTATATTAATTTATTTGATTAAAGTAGCTACCCTTACTTCTTTGGGTTTGACCAAACTAAGTAACTTGGTGACCATAGAAATCCTTGACATTTCATTTTGGAAACTGGACTCTTCCCAAATGTGACAATAAAGACAACATCCATTCGACCAGTTGCTGGCATTTGATCCTCCGGGAGAACACAGTAGGTTACATGTTGCTCTGTCACGGGAGACTTTCTTTCTCTTGAGGGTTTCCCGCATAGACTTTATAATACGGAGCATGTTTGAGCAGGAAATGTGTATTGACTTTGCGTATTGGAAATTCAAAATACATCTCTCGTTATGTTCCTAGGAGATCTAAATTATTCATGTATTGGTCGGTTCTACTTGCCTTCACAAACCATTGGATGTGTTCTTCTTTTTAACTGTGCACATGATGTATCAGCCTTTTTCTTCTTGAACCCAAGTGTCTGTTAATGCCTAATCCTCAGTCAAGACAAACACACATGGTCAGCATCCATCACCAAGCAACCAATTGCTCTGTGATCCAAGAGGCAAAACACAACATTAGATCTCATCTGTGGAGGTCTCTTCAATACTGGCTCAATAAAGTTTCTCAATAATAGTAAATGATACTGTTTTAAGCCTTATTGAAAGTGCTCTTATGCCGACAGGCCTTGCTTTTGGCTGTTATGCAACTTGAAAGGACATCTAAACCTCTTTTGTCACCATTATTATCCGTGGTTTTACTTTCCTCTCTCATCAATGGTGGGGTATTCATCAAGGTGTTTGAAGACGGAGGGGGTTTCACAGATCTGAATTGCTTTGATTCATTTGTAATACCTATTGTGGAGTTTAAATTGGAAATGCAAAGCCAAATCTTGTTTTTTTTTTACATGCAATCTCCTCACAGTGCTCCAAACATTATCAATTTCTGTCCCATCTCTCCTCATGCCTCCTTCTCTTATGTCCTTTTTTATGCACGGAAGACTCCCCCGGTCACAAGGAGCCTGTGAACCTCTGGATAACCTGCCACAGTGAACATGCACTATTGCCGCCCCTGCCCCTGTAGAGGCCTGACCAGCAGTGTAACAGGGAAATATGGAGGATGTCAAACTATGTGGAGACTGGGTCAGAAGCTTTTTCAAATATGTGTTTCTATAGTTTGGAAAAATTTGTTTTTTTTGGTCATTAGTGTTATTTTTAAAGAATAATGATGAACAAGTGTTTTTATCATTTTACTGTGATGCTTGATGGACGGCTTTGGCACTTCTTACTCGCGTACTCAATCTGACTGCTTATTTGTTAAATACAAACCAATTAAAATGTACATGGATTATATAGATTGATTATTGATTGATTATTGATCCCCCATTGGAGAAATGCAGGTGTCTAGCAGCAGAAATCACCATCATCCATACAAACAAAACAAATAAATATATAATTCTAATTATATAACTTATAAGTTACTAACAATAGTGCACAATAGTGCAACAGCACTTTGGGTCACAGAAGCAGAGGTGGTGTCACTGCTTCCTGTCCTCTGATCTATGTATGCAGAGTCTGCTTGGTTCGGACTATTTTCTCTGCTCTGGTCCAGAGTGAAATTCGGAATGCTTTATTAGCACTTTAAAAAAAGAAGAAGAATTCCTCCAGTGGATTTATGCTTGGTTCGGCCGTGCATCCTCTCTGCTCTGGTCTGGATTTGTGTAAAACTAAGAACTCAGCAAAATAACTATTGTAAAGCACAAAACAGCAACTGTTTCAGAGCTACTTGGGACTTTCTGCTGTTTCCAGCACATGCAAAACTAAACTATTTCATAATGTCATTGTCTTTCTATTTATAAACCAATGTCTTCTACACACTCAAGATAGTCTTATGGTCCTTCATTGTGTCCAAGCTCCTTCTGGGAAATTACTCAATCTCTTTCGGCAACACGCTTCGACAAAGTCTTCCTAATAATAGACCTTGTGCTTTCTCTTATCTCCAGTGGCAACCATGAGTTAATCCTACTCCAGCCTGGGCGCCCCACGCAGGATGACGGCTGTCTGCCCTGTGGACAAGAGCCCAGAGGAGGCTGAGAGAGCCACCACCAAGGCCTCCAGATCCTCCAGAGGGTCTGACCCCGTTGGACCCAGAGCGAGTAACTCTGCGACGGGCACTGACACTGGAGACTCTACTGGAGAGTCTGTGGATAGTTCAGGGACAGCAGGAGTGGGCACAACCCACCGCTTCAGCCGCTGCAGCCGACAGGACAGTTCTGACATCAACACTGATGATGAGGGCGCTACAGTCCGCCGCCTCACGCCTCTGGAGAGACTCAATCTCGACATGTGCCAAGATGACAGGTCAATCTATTCACTATGCACTTTTTATATTAGATTATTTATTTCCACTTTATAGTTCCATGTGAACTACAGAGATGACCAGCATATGGTTATCTTTGTATGTTTGATACACAGAATTGACACTCACAGAAACATTTAAATATATGTTATGTGTTGTCTTTCAGAGTTGTTCGGGAGATGACAGTTGGAAGAAGAATTGGCTTCTATAAAATTAGAGGAGAAATTGGCTCTGGGAACTTCTCCCATGTGAAGCTGGGGATTCATGCCTTGACAAAGGGTGGGCATTGTTATCATGAGAATTAAACACATTACACTAGAAATACAGCCACTAGTTTTCTATAAACATAAAAAAAATCCCCTTTTCCCCCTTTTTCATCCCCTTGATTTATCTATTTTAGACTTGGGAGGTAGAAATTGGATACATTTGTCTTCATTTGGCTTCAATACTCAAGTGTGTTGTTATGTTGCAATCAACAAATGAGGCTTATAGGTTTGGTGATGGGATAATTCAGCCTTAATGAGGCAGACCATCTCCTGTCCTTGAACAGATGGATTGATTAGAGATCTCCAGTTTCCGTAGCGACGGCTAAAATTGGTGCATGCCTCATCAGAGACAGAAGGGAGAAGGGGAGTCTGTTGGGTCTGTTGTGTCATGACCTGCTCAGTGTTTTCTTTCTGCACGTGTATGGAATTATGTCTGTGGCTCTCTAATTTGGTCACTTCAAAATCATATCAGCAGCCTTATGTTTTAAAAGTAGTATATTGTAACCTCTATTACCTGAGAGTGAGCCTAATGCCACCTTGAATAATGCATACTGATGTACAATTAGATATCCCCATACCATTTGACCACTGTAGATGTTCTCGGTATTTAGTTACACAGCAACCTTTTTCAATGGCATCATGGCTGTAATTCTTTAGTCAGATCTTAAACAATAATTATGTACCTACAAATAGAAATTCTATAGGATATACTAATAAATCTAATCAATATGCTATCGGAAATGACATTGCATTTTGAATTGGTCTACATTAAGATGTTGGACTGTGATCACATATCTTTTGATTTTATCTTTTCAGTGCTGGTTTAAACCCTTTGTAAGCTTGATAAGTCATGTTATTTTTTTTATCCAGACAAAGTGGCCATTAAGATCTTGGACAAAACCAAATTGGACCAGAAAACGCAGCGGCTACTGTCCAGAGAGATCTCAAGCATGGAGAAACTGCACCACTCCAACATCATCCGGCTTTATGAGGTCAGATTCACACATGAGCTCTTTCATATTGTCACACTTTCCTGCTGCAGTTGAGCCTGAGTACAGTTTGGTTTGTTCGCTGCGAGGGCCTAAATAGTCAGTTAGTCTCATATTTCAAACTGGTTTCAGACATATACTTCCACAATGAGCATACACTAATGATTTGTTGATCTCGTTCCCTGGTCAGGTTGTAGAGACCCTGACACGGTTGCACCTGGTGATGGAGTATGCAGGAGGCGGGGAGCTCTACACAAAGATCACCACTGAAGGAAAACTCTCTGATGCCAACGGCAAGATTATCTTCACTCAGATTCTTTCTGCTGTTAAACACATGGTCAGAACCCAGTCCAATCAGATACTATTTGTACTAACAGGGTTCGTACAGTCATGGAAAACCTGGAAAAGTCATGGAATTTTAAAATCTAATTTCCAGGCCCTGGAAAAGTTTTGGAATTTTGTAGGTCCTGGAAAAGTTTGGAAATTTTACAAAATGTATGTTTAAAAAATTTAAGGCTATATAAATCTTCAGTAAAATACCAAACTTCATCAGTCGATGGTGGTTCCAGATATTGCTTTGAAAACAGTCTCTCCCACTTCTCCGTGTTGGTTTCTTCAGGCTGCATTTGTTGTGTTGAGCCATGAATTCTTCTGTGACGTGTCTTTCAATCACACGTTTCAGCTTCAGTGTCCAGATTCAGCAATTCAATTCAGTCCAAATTATGTCCAAATTCAGAAATCCAATTGTTCCAAATTATGTCCATGCAAAAGAGGACGATGGTGTTGTCCATGTCTCAGCAGCTCATAGCCTGACTGGAATCAGGGGCTGTGCAGATTGTCCATGGGCTGATCCAGATGCATTCTCTTGAGGTTTCTCAGTTTTGGCTTAAAAAAAACACTTTTTGTGTAAAAAAAAAGAGTCTTCTGTTCTCTAGATGTTACAGACAAGGCCCGCATCCTCCACCACCTGAAGAAGATGACAAAGTCTGGGATCGCGTCTTTAATTCAGACAGAAGACATGTTTTATTGTCGATGGTAGAGACAGCACGAACACGAACAACACGAACAACAGAATGCAAGTGTATTATACAGAGCGGAGGCATGGAGACCTCCAATCAGCAGCTGCCACGGTGCCATGTAGCTTGGCCTTCAGATAGACAAAACAAGGGAAAAGTACTGGCTTCTGCACATTGATAGAATGATGAGTTTAACTTTAACAAAAGTTGCTTCAAAGTGTTATGAAATCTCACAGAATAAATAAAAAACAATCATAAAGCACTCCAGCGCGCACATTGTATTCGGGCAGACAGGTTGCTTGCAGCCATTAGCGACACGCCCCCCGCTTGACTCGAGGCCAGCTACGTGTTTTCCGTGCTACAGCGACTCAGCAAAACCATCATGCCAGGAAAATGCAGATTCAACAATGCGTGGCTATTTGTGGAAAAATATCAGAGCTGGCTTCAAAAAGACTCCGACTCAAGTCACGCCAAGTGTAAGCTATGCAGTAAAACGTTTGACATTTCGAATATGGGGGAGTCTGCTCTGGCGAGCCATATGAAAGGGAAAAAACATGAGTTAGCCATGAGGGCAAATGCCGCGGCGATTCCCATCAGCCAGTTCATAGGCGCTAGTGTACAGAAAACCCCCACGCCAAGAGCACCGACAACAACTCAAGGAACGTTGGACTTTTCCTCTAAAAATGAGGTACTGAAAGCCGAGATACTATGGGTATTAAAAGTAATGAATTCGCATTACTCCTACAAATCGTCAGAGGGCACGAGTCGTCTGTTTGCAGCTATGTTCCCAGACAGCCAAATTGCCACAAGATTCACATGCGGTGAGAAGTGTGCATACATCGCCACATTTGGGCTTGCGCCGTATATCAAAAGACTTTTATTGAAAGAAGTGTCACAACAAACCGCATACGTCGTGCTATTTGACGAGTCTTTGAACCATAGCTTACAGTCAAAGCAATTGGACATTCACGTACGCGTGTGGGAAGGTGGAGAAGTCAAAAGCAAATATATCGGTTCCCAGTTTCTTGGACATTCTACAGCGGCTGATATTGTGGAAAAGATGTGCAACACGTTGTCCGAGATGGGAATTAAAAACCTCATCCAGCTGTCAATGGACGGACCGTACGTGAACTGGAAAGCATATGACATGATTCAAAAAGAGATGCAAAAACAGGTGGACAAGTCGCTGTTAAACATTGGCTCTTGTGGTCTGCACGTACTACACAACGCTTTCAGAGCGGGGTCCAGCGCAGCGGGATGGGACGTTGAGCACTCGCTCTTATGTTTGTATTGGCTATTTGTATTGGCAAGCAAGTGTAGAGAGAGGGTTTTGCATAAACAAAGAGATAATTGTGGAAAATCAAAAGGAACAGTCACTCATTGCTCAGAGGCTCATCGTGGGACACATTAGGGCTGTTGGTGATGTGACAAATGTACCTCTCACCAAGGAACTCTTCATGTCAGTTTCATGTGCCAACAGCGATACAAAAGCTACTTGGATGATATGAGGAGGGCAAATGAGAAGCAAAGGTCTGTGGAAAAGAGAAAGGCACTTACAGATGAACTAAAAAGGAAGAAAGCCAGAATACATCAGGATGTTTCTGCATTGGAGAAGGCAGCAGACGACTACGCGAACAAAGCAGAAAACACTGGCAACATAACCTTCATAACAAAGTCAAACAGTCTGCGCCGCACGGCTAAGGAAAAGATAATCTCTCTACAGGATCTCGATAAGCAAATGGACGACAAGCTTCTTGAGATGAAAACCAAAGAATGAGCTACAAACTATAAATGGCCTAAGACCTTTACAGAATATAGGCCTGCTTACTCACTATATCACACTGATACTTTAAAATGTACTAACTAGGCTTTTTTTATATGTTTATTTTGTATTATTACTTGAACTAAATGCACTGGAGCTGGCTATTTATGTGTCTTGAAGAATTAACTGCAAACCTTGGCCTGCAATACTGGGACACTTTATTGTTACTTGAACTTTTTTTATTTTATTTACATTTAACCATTAACATGGCAATATAGGCCTACTCAGTCTGTACTGGGACACTTTATTTTTTACTTGAACTCCAGTTAAAGTACTGCAGCTATTTTATATTTCAGTATGAACAGGGGAAGCCTTCTTAGTCTGTAGTGAGAGACACTTTATTTTTACTCGAACTTAAGTTAAAGCACTGAAGCTGTTTTATTACAATATTTACCTGTACTGAGACACTACTTTCACTTCAGTTAGTCTGTAATGCAATGCAGAAATGTAGCAGTACATACATTGCTACCATTTTGAGTGTATTTTATTGTTGGAAGTAATTGCATGGTTACTTTTTGTTCTTGAATGTATTGAAGGTACAACAGTTAATATTTTTGATAAAAAGTTGACTTTGCATGCTGAATTTAGGCTAAATAAAAACAATGTTTGGTTACCCAACCTTTTATTAAGTATTTTTTATTTAATGATAAAATAGTGATCTGACACATAGAGGCCTGAGCTGGCCAGCGTACTAGAGCTCCCTCTAGAGGCAGCAGCAGGAATGACTTAGTAAAAAGTGATCAACTGAAAGTTGTTTTGCAACTCAATTGCACCTGGTTAACACACTTTGAGAGGAAAAATGTGGTGGACAGTTCTGTGATTTTCCTATGACTCAAAATAACCCTTAACTCAAAACTGCATGAATGAAAAACTATTCTAACAGTGTTGTACTTTAAAATTCTGTTGTTTTTTTTGCAGAATATGTTCCCTTTAAAAGTATTTTATTTTATGGAAGACATCTGTAAAATGTCTTCCATAAAATGTTTGTAAGACATCTGTAAAATGTGTTTAGGCACAAAATCAACAAATGAATGCAAGTAACAATTGAAATTGACTGAGTAATTTTTTGCCATGGAAAATTGGTTAAGGGTCATGGAAAAGTCATGGAAAAGTCATGGAAAACCTTAAGAGGAAATCTGTACGAACCCTGTACTAACTATATTGGGGTCTATCACTGTATTTACTATACGGACTCATAATTCAGTGATTCCAATGGCTAGAATCATCTGGTTTAAAGGTCAAACTTAATCATCAATGCATTTTATTTGGAATAGTGGAGATTATGTACATTTTTTAATAATATATATAGGATTGCAGAAGTTTCACTTTTAGTTTAGTGTAGTTTAGTTTAGTTAAAGTAGCAGTATGTAATATTTGCATGTCAAGTCATCATTAAATGGCCCCAATATTTCAAAAGTCGTTATTAAATCATGCTCTTTTCGAATACATCTTTAACTGATAACAGTAGTTCAGCCGAGATATTTGAATATCAAAATTAGTTTTACGACCCGTAAAAGTTGATATTGTTTTCATTCTCAAGTCCTACCCTTCGCCGTTTCGCCAATCAGGAAGTGCGGGGTCCGGGTTGCCAGAACTCCACGTGGCTCACTAATCTCAGTGGTAAAGTACCATGTGGCCACAGAACTAAAGGTCTTGTTATGACTCTCAAATCATTAATGACAAAACAAAGACTGAAATGATGATTTATAACGGGACGCCTTTGAAAAATTGAGACAGCTGATTAAAGTTTTTGTGTGGTGCTAAACTTGCTGCTCTGAGTGCGTTCTTCATGAATGGGTGAAGTCCTTGCATCCACGGCAGCCTACGTCGCGTGCACAGGTGGTCTAGCGGTTAAGCTACTGCGTTTACAATGCAGTAACCCCGGCTCGATTCCGGGCAGAGTCTTTTTATATTTAATTGCGTAATATCACATTCTATGACAGATTGCTCTAAAAACGGTAAAAGTCGAAGGTCAAGGAGTTTTTTTGCAGATTATAGCTTAATTGTAAAAAACATAATTTGAGACCACATGTACCCCAATTAATATAATGTTAGTCTCTTTTTGATGTGGGACTTATACATGTCTAAAAAATAGGGAACAAATACATTTGAAGGGCGATGTACTCTGGAGCAAACCCTGATTGATACGCTGAAGAAATATGTTCCAATATGTTCTTCCCACTCCTATTTTGGACATACATTGCCTATTTATTTTGCATAATCTATAAATACATTGCTTTTATTTTATATTTTTTATTTATTTTTTAATCTCAAATGTCCAAATAAAAATTAAACATTCATTCTAAACATTAATTCAACATTAGCACGCCTCATGGCAATGTGATTGGAGACAGACAAACATCTGATAAAATCTGGCAACCTGAGTCAGGGAGAGTGGGAGAGGACTACAAAATATTGACTGTGACTGCAGTACCACTTTTGGCCAGATTTTTACATATTGCTCCTTTAAGATCCCCTTTAGCCACTGAGATGCAGTGGCTATTCTTCCTGGGTCTCCTCAAAATCATTACATGCTCTTACATATTTTTATACATCCTCTTTCACACACACTCATACAACGACGACGACATGAAAGTTAAATGAGAAATCAATTACAAACTATACAAAAGAATAATAACAAAGTATCTTACAACAACACATAAAACACATTTAAACCGCCAAAAATGTAACTAGTTCCTCGCTATCAATATAGTTTCCATTAATAGCTTTCCACATACAGTACAGACCAAAAGTTTGGACACACCTTCTCATTCAGAGTTTTTTATTTTCATGATTATGAAAATTGTAGATTCACACTGAAGGCCTCAAAATATGAACTAACTCATGTGGAATTATGTTTGTCCTGCAAAAAAAAGTATGAAACAACTGAAAATATGTCTTATATTAGGTTCTTCCAAGTAGCACCTTTGGCTCTGATTACTGCTTCACACACTCTTGGCCTTCTCTTGATGAGCTTCAAGAGGACCTGAAATGTCTTGATCGAGTTCCCAGAGATGCTTAGCACTTGTTGGCCCTTTCGCCTTCACTCTGTGGTCCAGCTCACCCCAAAACCATCTGGATTGGGTTCAGGTCTGGTGACTGGAGGCCGGGTCATCTGGCCCAGCACCCATCACTCTCCTTATTGGTCAAATAGCCCTTACACAGCCTGGGTGTGAATCTACAGTCAATAGTCATGAAAAGAAAGGACACTCATTGAATGAGAAAGTGTGTCCAAACCTTTGGTCTGTAGTGTACATTCATTTTAGCCTTTTAGTCACTTTTTCCTTCTTGTTTTCACTTTTCAGACACAAAAGTGGAATCAAGAAGACAACCCTCAAGCAGCTCTCAGTGTCAAGTAGTCGCAAAGTATAACATGTTGTCTCAATCTTATTAGTAGACATTTAACTTTTGCAAGACCCCTTTCTGTCGGGACCTAATATATTTTATTAGAAAAGTGTGTACCACAGTTCAGCTTTAAATGAGCCACACTTAAGTATTGTTTAATTATTGTTTAACTGTTTAACTGCTGTTAATTTTGTTTCAACTCAGGCTTATTATTGTTGATAAGGAAATTGAAAATTCCGAGAAGCTTGACTGTTGTCCACTATTTGTTTGCCTTTGCAGCACGAGAACAACATCATCCACCGTGACCTGAAGGCTGAGAATGTGTTCTACACCAGCAGCTCTTGTGTTAAAGTGGGGGACTTTGGCTTCAGCACTTTTAGCCGCCGTGACGAGACTCTCAACACGTTCTGCGGCTCTCCTCCGTACGCCGCACCTGAGCTCTTTAGGGATGAGCACTATTTGGGAGTTTACGTGGACATCTGGGCACTGGGAGTCATGCTTTTCTTCATGATGACTGGCACCATGCCTTTTAGATCGGACACTGTGGCCAAGCTGAAGAGGTGCATCTTGGAGGGGGCTTTTGTGCTGCCCCCCTGGGTCTCTCAGCCCTGCCAGAGGCTGATCAGAGGGATCCTGCAGCCCGTCCCGAGTGACCGCTGCACAGTGGAGCAGATGATGGGCTGTGAGTGGCTGCTGCCTGTGGACTTTCCGAGAGCCATGGAGCCCTTCAAACTGGACCCGTTGTACTTGGCACAGAGTGACACTACTGAACTCACAGATGATGAGAGGGACTTAAAAGCATCATTAGAAAAATTAGGAATCACATCAGAACACATCCTGAACAATCAGGGCAAAGACTGTCGTAGCTCTATCACAGGAGTCTATAGGATCCTCCTGCACCGCTCTCACCGCAGGAGGGCTGTGGACAGTGTGCCTGTGGTCGCCAAAGTTACTCCAAACACAACCACCAATAAGAAAGAGAAACTAAAAGTGTACCGAAGTTTGCGACACACTTCCAAACTTTGTGTAATTCTGTAAATAATGTTCTTAGGAAAATACAAGCATACAAGCAGCATGTTGTTGAGTAGAAATGACGAGATGTATTGCAGTGTAGCAGTATAATATATATATATTATATAATATAAGTTGAAATATTCCATATGAAATCTGCGATTTCATAACTTCTTATAGTAATTTAAATAGTCTCTGTGAGAATGTTGATTATGATCAGTCAAAATTTTTCTCGTGACAAAAAGAATATCCATATACCAACATAAAACGTAATATCTATTATAAATAGGTTCAAATCGTGGTCGGATTGGTCAGGAGGTTCTGTTGCCTTATGCTTCTTCAATTTATCAGGAAGTTGCATGTTTTTATTTACCTCATGTCAGATTCAAGCTTGAATCAAATAAATTCTAAGATGACATAAGGACCTTTTTATTTGTCCCACAGTGAATGGACGCATTTCAGTGTTGCAGCCATAGATTGTAAGTTGCTGCGCACATTTAATGAATAACAATCGTCATGCTCAGATCTTAGCAGAGTCTAAACTATAATCAATAAGTAACTTCAAAATGCCTTAAAAAACGCAATGAATGACTGAAGGCAAATGGAAATTAAAGTGAATGGTGTGTGTGTTTCTGAAATTACTGTTTAATCTCGACTGCTGGTCTGACCAATTATCATGATGTAGGGGCATTTGCGTATTCAATCTCATATTTACTGCTTCTGGCCACATCACTTCTACGCGTGTCCTCCTCGATGGACTACAACTCCCAGCAGTCCCGGCTGGCGGAAGTCAGCCCCGCCTCTTCCGCTCTGCCCGTGACGCACTTTTTGCCCTGTTGGAAGGTGCTTTCATCAGGAGCGCAGCGGCAGTAGGCGGTGACTGCAGACATACGCTGAAATAGACCAGCCAAACACCACGGGACCACTCAGGCTAATGATATTTTGACTTCTGGTGCTAAAACGGTAAGATTTTTCATCAACATTCTTCATGAGGGTCACAGACAGACAACTCGCTGAACAGTGCCAAAAAGACCACACCCTCTCCTGCTGTTTAACGAGATTATCTGAATACTATTATAGCAAATGCTTTGATCTAAGGATATCTTTTGAGATTTCTTGACAATATCGAATGCAAATAAAAGAGTATTTATTTTACCTACATTTTCCTGCTCAGTGGGTCACTGCATAAAATGTAGGTCAGGTTTTTTTCTTGCTCAAGTGGTCTACTGTAGTCCACTGTCTGCAATCTGCATGGTGCAGGGAAATACTGTAACCGTCCATTTGCTACGTTTTACACACTTCTTTGCATTGCCAGCAGAAAGTGGGATTGCAATAAGTAAATAATAGATAACGGGTTAAATGTAATATCCACGTATTTGTTTTGACACATAGACATCTTATGACAAAGGCATGCGGATGTGGGGGCGGGGCGCATACGAGATGAGGTCATGCAGAAAGTCGGACCTGATGCAAGATTGTGGATCCTGATGCTGTTTACATGATACTGCACTGTGCTACGTGTCAGGAATCAAGAAAGATGAGAAGTACATTAAAGCCCCGCGGTGCCAATTCTCATACATGGAGTTATAAAGACATTACGGACTAGAATAATTACAGTAGACTTATTAGGTATGCAGTATAATGCGTTTAAGCACAATATTACAATACACCACAATAATGTCCCATTTAAAGGTATTTCATGAGCTGTAATGAATATCACAAAGAACCCTCTGTTTTGTGTGAAGCTGAGGCCCTGTAGTGTTGGATTTTGATGAAATGTTCACTGTAATTATAAGTGGGAATGATCTCTGCACAAAGAAAGATCAAAATCCAAAGTTTCTTTATACAGGAAGAGGGGAATAATCAACTGTAGAATGACCAACTGGGTTTTGACAATTCCCTTTCATAGCTGTGAACATTTAATTGAGAATGGATTTTGGAAACCTGTAACCCCTGAAGCCTGGGGATGTCATTATTATGGGTCATATATATATATATATATATATATATATATATATATATATATATAAGACCATTATCACCTCACACATCAGCGCCCCCCACCCTCAGGCAGTGGGCTTTTGTTGAAATCGTGATCATAAAAGGCAGCAGGTGCAGAGAGAGAGAGAGACGTATATTTCTGATGGTTTTGTCTCCTACATTTAGAAATTTGCTGCAGATGTCAGCGACTGAAGAGCTGCCAGACATGGAGGGGGCAGACCTGTTAGGACTGCTGTTCCAAGACGGATCCACTTTGTTTTCAGATGGGAATGAACTCATCGAATCCTGGCTGTCTGAACAAGATGTACGAGAATACCTTATTTTTGTGTCTTTGTAATTTATTTAATTATACTTTTGTCATCTTTAAGTTTTATGGTTTTATTGTAGAGAAGTCCGCATAGAGGTGGCATATAAAAACAAGATGATTTTTCATGAAAACAATAGAATGCAGTATGTAGAGTAACTACATGCTGCATTCTACATATAATATAGACCTTTGATTAAAACACATTGCAGCTTTCAGCTTTCATTGTAATTGTTGATGTTAGTATGTTGACCGTGACACAATAAAATAAAATAAAAATAGAACTCACTAATCGGTCAAAAAAACAAGTGAGAATTTTGTAAATGCCTTCCCCAAAGACATCATCAGTTATCAACGTAAAATGGTTAAAAAGTGTCCCGTATGTTTCCTTCCAGATGCTGCCGGGCCTGGACACTGAAGACTTCCTGTCCAGTCTGCTGGATGAGGACATGGATGCGGTGTCTCACTCTCCTCTGGGCAGTGACAGTGGTATCTCTGACGACAGCAGCGGGGGGCACCCCTACTCTCAGCCCAGTCCAGTGCACTCGGAGCCTGGCCCCCTGACCCCCGCAGAGGTCAGCACAGAGAGTCCTGAGGCGCTGATGGTGCAGTCAGATCACTGCTACTCTCTGCAGCAGGGCGCTGAGCGCGACACGGACGAGCTGCAGAGCGTCCGCGCAGAGAAACTCGACACGGACGTCTTCATTGATTTTGGTTCGTTGAAGAGTTGAATGCGTCTCCGTTATGTAACCTTACGTAATTTTTGTCAGGGGTGCTCTGCTGAAATCCATGATATGATGCCTTTATTTTGCATTAAGCATAATTATTCGGATATGATGAGCGAGATGCTTTTTAATTAATACGGTTTGTAATAATGAACATTATTATACATGATACTGTTAGGGTGTATCTGAGAACAATAGCATTTATGACTGAAGTATGCTTTAATTGTGTCCAAAATACATGAATATAACCACGTTTCTCACAATATACAAAAGCATTTTGGGGACAGATTGAAAACTAGCCCTTTCTAAATAACACCCTTCCCCGTGCAGACCAGCAGGGGGCACAACCACCACTAGAAGTTACATCTGAATGATGTCAAATATAGTCTCATTTTCTGTGCTTAACTACAAGGTTGGAATTATTTTTGAGAACCCCCTCAAAAACAAGACTTTTCATCTCTAGGGGCTTATTAAAAGTAAAAACTGTTTGCTAACATGTATCTAACATGTAATGTCCCCTGAAACATGTTTAGAATGGCTTCTGGTAAATAGTTACTTGAAGTGAATCAAACGTCTGTATTTTGATTGTGTTGATGAAAAAGTGCCGGTCAAAAGAGTTGTTTGTGTCCCGTCAGACGACCTGGTGGCTGACGCTATGGAGGAAGAGGAGGACGTCACCGATGAGCTGCCCTGCACTCTGGACGTGGATGACGTGGACAACATGGCCGATGATGCACTGCTCCAACAGAACGATCAGGTTTGGCCTGTTTGTCTTCTCTGAGAACTCCAAATAGATCTTAAGACGCACGTGGAATATTCAAACAATCTCACGTTTGTCTTGTGCTCATTCTATTTCCAAGCTATTGAAATACAAAAGAACATTATAATCCATTGTCAAGGTCGCAGCCCTTATAATATAATAATCTTTATAATTTTTTTTATATATTGGTATAGATCAATTAAATAATAAGTAGGATAGCAATAATAATATTTTTGTATGTATTTTCTAGTTCCAGTTCAAAGAGATCGTGCTCACAGAGGAGGAGAAGCGACTTCTGGCCAAAGAGGGCGCCACAATCCCAGCACACATGCCCCTCACAAAGGTAAAACATACACAAAGAATATCATATTTATATTTTATTTAGATATTGCCTACCAAATCATGCTCTAGTACTTTGAGGTTGTTCCATTTTACTGAGAGAACAGAACTCTAGTAGTTTGGGCTGAAAAGGGGCCCGCTGCTGGTTGTAAATAGTCTCCTTGTGTCACAGGCCGAGGAGAGGACCCTGAAGAGAGTGAGGAGGAAGATCCGCAACAAGCAGTCGGCCCAAGAGAGCCGCAAGAAGAAGAAGGTCTACGTGGACGGACTGGAAAACAGGTGAGGGGGTTACTGATTCATGTATCGTTTCATTTAGGTTTCCACTGGCGTCACAGAACAACAATAGAATGGATATGTTTGTAGCTGTGTGTGTGACCTGTTTTTGTGTTAATCAATTCACTGTTTTGTTTGTGTTTTTATCTAAATGTTCATCTTTTTTTATTTTTAAAGGGTTGCCATTTGCACAGCACACAACCTGGAGCTGCAGAAGAAAGTCCAGATGCTCCAGAAACAGAACATGTAAGTACTTTACAGTATATACCAGCACCGATGCATACTATTGTACTACAAATGGATACAACTATATTCATTCAACTTTTACTCCCTCTTTTTCTGTGTGGTCATAGTATATATAAAATGTTAATTACTTTTATATTGAATGGTACAAACTGAAAGACATCCTTGGCTTGTACACGTTCACACATGTTTATCTGTGTATTACAAGTACTGCAAAATCTAGTGGACTGATGGTCACCTAGTTGTTGCAGCCTTGATAATATTCTAAACTAAAAACTAAATTAGTTGTTTTTCAATTTGGTAATCGTGATCATTAACTGAACTATTCACTTTTTATAACAAAGACGGTGCTTTTGTCAAATTGTTATAAATATTCAATTCCAATTCAGTTCATCTTTTGTATAGCCCTAAACCACACCAGCTGTCGTCTCGAATGTCTTTAAAATGAGATAAGATAAGATGGACTTTATTGATCTCACATAGGAGAAATTTACATGTAGCATCTGGCAACGATTTACCAACAACAGATCAGAGAATCAAACAGTTTGAAGAAAGGAAATACAACATTAACAAACACATAGAAGCCAGTGGTTCATAAGGAGCAGGATGATCAATGTTGATAAATGTGTGGAAATATTTTTACATACACACATTATTTACTACTATAAAACCTTCTGTCAATATTTTTCCACCTTTTTATCAGGCAAATAAACAATATTAATAATTATAAAGAGGAGAAAACAGAGGTACTCAATTGCTTTTAAATTCTTTTTCTCTGCCCATTGAGTGCCTCAGTTTTCTCCCCAATCTAAAGAGTACAGAAACATTTTCACTACAAAATAGACTTGTGTAGCAATCCAGTACCCTTGCATTTTGAATATTAATAATTGTTTGACTTTTTAACTAATATAAATAAAATGGCTGCCCTAATCTGTTATCATTGTTTTAATCCCAGCTCGTTGGTGGAGCAGCTGAAGAAGCTCCAGTCCATGGTAAAGATGTCTACACTGAAAGCCAGCACCACCAGCACTTGTGTTATGGTAAGGGCCACAGAACACACAGGGGCTTTGTGGCGGTTGCCATGGCGCGCCGTGGGTAAGACGATACCGTGCCGTTGCTAACTCTGCGTCTGGGACTTTTCCTTTCAGGTATTCCTATTGTCCTTCTGCCTCATCATCTTCCCTTCTGTCAATCCCTTCGGCAGCAAACCAGAACAACAAGAGCTGTACACCCCGTCCTCAGGTGAGAGCACAGTAAAATGCGGCACGTCGGAGGGTTCGGTGGGAAATGTTTATTCAATTCTGTTCAACTTTATTGCACACTCTTAAGTCCAATTTTAAACTTAAAACTCTGAAGACACACAAGACGATAATTGACATACGATCAGTTTTGACTTTAAAAGAAAGCCATAACCCAGTGTCTCTACAGCTTGGACTGAAATCTAGTGGCTACTGCAGGCAGGGCCTTCATCACCACCGCTGTCAGACTGTACAATAAGTCACTTTAATGGCCTTCACTAGGACCGAAAAACTCGCACTGCTATAGTCACTTTTAATTATTTTGTACATACCGGTATTATATCTTGCACAAAAGAGATTATATTTTAACTTTTGAGTGATTCTATTCATGCAAAATGTTTCATGTACATTTCTCCATTGTGAGATCAATAAAGTTTATTCTTATCTTTCCAAACCTGATTGTTGTAAGCGCCAATGCAGATTAAAAAAAAAAACACTTTTACATAAAGGTCCTCAGCAGAGCCTGATAGGTTTCTCACTTTTTCCCACTGGGTTTTTTAAGAGTTTTTCCTTGTCGATGCAGGAGGGTCTTGTTGGACAGTTAGTGTCCAACAGAAAGGATTGGTGATGATCAGGACACTTTAGCATTCTACAACATGTATGGACATTTTCTTCTGTGTGTGCTTTATATTCTTCATGTGTTTTAACTGTTGATTCTCTGACCTGTGTTGGTGATTTCAATGGTTTTGTTAAGTCCTCTGAGATGACTTCTGTTGTGACCTAGGGCTATACAAGAATAAATTGTATTGTATTGTGTGTGTATTGTGATGCTGTGTTAATTATATTCACAAATGTATAAAGTGGAGCTTGAAAGTTTACACACTCGGGCAGAAAGGGGCATACTACCGATTATAAACACGTTGGCTTCAAATACTGTAGCATATTTTCAAATGATGAAAACAGCAGAAACTCTTCTTCTAACTGTGATTAGAAGTCCCCATCCCCCAGTTCTGAGTAGTATTTCCCCTTTAACATCGTTGATAGATTGTAGTATTCTGTGGTATTCTGTGGTTGAGGTTCTTTCTCCTCTGATGTGAAACTTGCCCATTCGTCTTTGCACCGAGCCTCCAGTTTAGTTTGTTCTCAGTTTAATGCAAATGTGAAGTCTAAACCAACACTAATTGTATGTTTTAGCACGTTTCTGATGGTAGGCAGCATTATATCATTTAATATAGTTATAAAAATACTCAAATGCATACAAGTTATAGGAATAGACTTAGACATATTTCATTAAACCTTTTTGGTAGCTAGGAAGTTTGTATAAAAAAAATAAAATTGCAAGACTTCCCCTGTGTTTCAAAAACGATTTTCAGGGTACATTCCTGTTCTGGAAATCCCTGTCTCACTTTCAGTTTATTTATTTATTTTTTTGCTTTTTCAACAGTCAAACGAAAAGTACTTTTTTGCTGCTATTAGTATTTCCCAAGGAAGATTTGTGAAAGTTGATAGAAGTAGCAATGACCACGAGAAAACAAAAAAACCCACAAACCCACAATGTTATGCTATTATTTTTTCTATTCAATTAAACTGTTGGCTTTTTATTTTCTCGCTCTACATTTCGAACACACGTTAAATCCATCATCGGCTTCTTATATTTGTACTCTTTTATTGCAGTCATCTCCAGGACCTTACGCTCACTTCCTGCGGACAGCGATACCGGGGCGTACTTCGAGCCTGAAGACGAAGATTCGCTCGTCTTAGTAACGCCGGAGGTGGAAAACGTGAAGGCCTTATTCGCTAGCGGCCAGAAGAACCACACTCCGGACTTCCAACACGTAGAGCAGCCAGACTCCGAGACGGGCGTCAACAGCAACTCATCCACGGACTTCCCCAACTCCAATCAGGCCCTGGACATCAAACCGGGACAGGCAGGTGGCGGCGGGAGCACTGTACAGGAAGGGCCCGTAGATAAAGTCTCTGCTTCTGCCGTGGCGTATGAGGTTCAAGGCTCCAAAGAGAACTGGATAGAGAAAAATCCCCCATCTGTCATACTGCAACAACACCGCTCAGATGAGATGTAGTACACAAGGAGCGCCAGCAGAGGGAGCCATAGACTTTTACATTGGGACCGTTGAACTTTTATAAAGATGAAAGGGATGGGAACCTGTGGTATGTTATCTAGAATCGTGACCTCTCTCTCTCTCTCTCTCTCTCTACTTCCCCCTTTTGAACAGACTTTCGATGTGCTACTGTTACTCCATTTGCACTTTGGTCTACCTTGTTTGGTGAAGGCAGGAAAAACATTGAACAAAATGATTCCCTATAGTCTCAGTCCTAAAGTGTTAACTGCCTAATAGAAAAGGACGCTGCTGAGATTGCATTGTGAAAACGACACCAAAACAGAGAATGCTAACGTGTCTCAAGAGTTTATCAAATGAAGTAACGGCAATCATTTCCATGCCATGAAATTCCAGACTTGAAGGGTAACTAGGGCTGCACTGAAGAAGGACGCAATCAATAACAGGAGCGGCAAAGTTTAATGTAATACACCAATGATGTTTTAGAATAGGGAATGCGGACATATGTGTGACACTAATTTACCCTATGATAGACTAAATAGCTATTTTAACTAGCTATTGTATTAGCCAGTTTCTTAAGACTACCTAGATATAAATTATTTCCAAACAAGCACTTTTTATCTGAACATTTGTTTGGGACTTTTTTCAGGGAAATAATACTGTTCCAGGTAAAACTCTTTGACAGGGATGTGGCTGTAACACGATCTCTAAGTGCAGCCCTGGTGGTATCCGGCCTTCAGAGCATAATCCTAGAAGAATGCTACTTTAACCTCATGATGCTTGACCCTAAAGTGGTTGTAGGACCACTGTGATGCTCCAGCCATTGCAGGACATTTGGCCATGTAGAAGACTTGTAAAGGTGTTAGTATTTCCCTTGCAACAAGGGTGTCATGCTTCTTTCATTTTGGAATGGTTCTTTATTTTATTTTGTTTTTTTTTTTGTATTTTATTTGTTGTTGTACAGTGAAGTAATGAGTAATGCAAACTCTACTTTTAAGCAAACGCCAAACCATTGACCATGCAGTAGTTGTCAGACCCCCCTCACTTCCTGTACGTTCGGAGCTGTAATCTCGATACACAGCACTTGAAAAAGGGACTTGATACACACTTGTGTCGCAGTAAAATAAAACCAAAAAATAGAAAGACCTGTCTTTTTCATTTGAGCATATTGTTTTTTGTTCTTATACTAATTTTCTATTTCTTACTGGTATAAATCTTAAATATACATGTATTTTATCAGACCTAATTTAACTTACAAATGTATGTAAATATATTGTATCAATCAACATGTCTATAGAACTTTGAATATACGCATCTTCAATTGATTGTATCACTACTATACATTTAAATTGAAAAATAAGTTATACCAGTCAAACCACTCAACACCAACTTTTTTTATCCTTCCACATACGACTTGCACGCATAATCACCATCCTTAACCCAAGGAGTAATATCAATAACAATCAATTAATTGATGTTGTAAGATTTGTGTATATAATGAAACAAATAAAAACATAAGACCCATATTATAAAATCACATTAGAAGTCATTAGTACTTTGTTATTTATTTATCCGTTAGAAACTCAGCACCATACTTGATCCCACTCACCACCCCCACTATATATCACAACAAATAAAAACGTACTGCTGAATGAACTTTGGCTATTTGAGCCACACCGCATTCAGCTATTTGTTTAATGGCTCACCATTGTCAAGTTAATATACATTAATTCCATACATACGCCAATAAACCACACAAATATCACCCAAAACAAAGAATCAATATACCCATACCTGTTACTAGATTGCTTTGTACAGTGTAAGGCTCCAAAATAATTCGTCATAACACTATTTAGTTGCCTTTTTAATTAACATGTCATTACCAACCTTATTAAGGTTGCCACAACAAAAATTATATAATATAAGAACGAACTTTACTCAGTATTCAAAACCTTATCCCCTATAATGGCCGAATAGTCAGCATTAAATAGATCCACCAATTATCTTACGCACCCCCTCCTCCCCCTATACCGTCACAACAACACATGTCACAAATTTCACACCAGAGTAAATTTTTGCTTCCTTTTGTAACTCCATAAATTATTTTCAGCAAACTCACACCACAACAACATCTTATTATGATGAAAATAATATCATAGTTCCCCCCTAACCAGTAAACACCATACTCCCACCCATTTCCTCAGGTGAGTCCCAATTTATCACCTTAAGATATGAATGTGTGAAAATTGGATGATCAGTGTGCGCCTTCTCAAGTTGGGAACTAAAACCTTCAGCCACATCGTCCCAATCGGAACCGTTATGACAACCCAGCGTATGCAGTATATCTATCTTTACTCTAACAACTTGTAAGTCACCATCCAATTTAGTACACTAACCTGGTTACATACAACGTCAATACACCATTTCTGCAAAAACAATTGAACATCCCTTTTCAACCAACGTAACCGGTATATTAACATTTGATTTCTCATTATTATTGTCTAAAAGTTTTTTCATTTATTATGAATTAAAAAATGAATAACATTACCATGAGATACATGCTACACCACTGCTGCATGTGAGGCTCCCTATCCACAAGATCTATTCACAGTCTTAACACACATACTGAACATCCACTTGGGCTTATATAGATGGGAACACAGAATTGTCGCTTCATAACAACTGACCAAACACTAACACAGACTTCTCATTATAAATAACACATGAACAGACATTCAAATCATTGTTTCATTATAACCAACTCAAACACAGAACATAAAAAGAAATTACATTCTATCCTCTATTAAAAAGATTGAAGGAAAATCGATCCACATCAGTAGATGAATAAAAAAATTTACTAATAGAATATTCGACAGTACTCACATATAAACAATCAAAAGTAAATACGAGCTACCAATCAACGTCCTCTAAATAAGACACCATTTTCAAACGCAGTGCTATAACCATACAAACACATCAAATGTACGAAAAAAACTACAGCACCAAAACATTAATAATACAGATAAAACCATTAATAACATATAAAATAGTCATAATAACAAAAACAAAAATGCCTCAACTGACAACGACAGGTTCATTACAATTTTTATATATTTTACGCACACAATGTGTACACGTCCCTTTTTCAATGTGCTTTGTAACTAGATACACTCCTAACTACATAAGTGATGTGGTTGACCAGACAACTAACAGCATATTGTCAATGGTTTGGCGTTTGGCTTATAAAAGTATAGTTTTGCAATACTCAAAACTTCACTTTACAACAACAAAAAAAGAACCAAAAAACAACACAATAAACATAAATAACCATTTCCAAAATTTAAATTAAGCAATTACCACCCTTGTTTCAAGGGAAAATACAACACCTTTACAAGTCTTCTAACATGGCCAAATTCCTGCAATTGCTGAGCATCACAGTGGTCAACAACCACTTTAGGGGTCAACCTCATGATGTTAAAGTAGCATTCTCTATTATTAAGCTCTGAAGCCGTTACACCAGGCTCACTTATAGAGATCAGTTACAGCCATCTCCCTGTCAAAGAATTTTACCTGAACAGTATTATTTCCCTGAAAAAAGTCCCAACCAATGTTCATATAAAAATAGCATGTTTGGAAATATTTAATATCAGTAGTCTTAAGAAACTGGCTAAATACTAGTAGCTAGTTAAAATAAGCTATTTAGTCTATCAAGTTAAATCGTGTCACACATATGTCCACATTCCCTATGTCTAAAACATCATTGGTTATGACATTCAAACTTTGCCGCGCCTTTATGATGCTCCTCCTTCCATGCAGCCCTAGTTACCCTGTCAAGTCTTGAATTTCATTCATTGAAAAGGATTGTGCTGTGTACTTCATTGATAAACTCTTGAGACACGTTTAGCAACACTTTTGTTTCGTTTTTCACAATGCAATCTCAGCATCGTCCTTTTCTATTAGGCAGTTAACACTTTAAGGACTGATACAATATGCACTTGTTTTCAACTCCTGGTGGGTTCCATAACCTGAGATTCCACTCACGTCATGGGGACTGGTTTTACGTGGTGGGGCCCGAACACCGGACCCCACTGGTCCAAGCTTAATAATCAATGGGTAATGCTTTTCTAACGGTCCTTATGCAGTCTCTGTAAAAATATGGAAAGGACCCCTGGAGGTTTACTTTCCTGAAAAAAGTGTGTTATGTGTCGGAACCCTGGTGGTGGGTTGCGGGATATCAAGGAGGGGCACACTGGGGCAATTTCAGTCCAGCAGGCTTGGAGCCAATCATGGAGCAGCACAACAGAGGAAATCAGGTGTCAGGCTAGAAAAAGGTGCAAGTGTGTGGTTCATTAGGCTGCAAGAAATCATGGAGGAGCACACTGAAGCGCACGCTTACAAACCACTGGTAAGTGCTGACTACAAGTCATGACTTCAAATTGTTATATAGAATGATTACAAATTATTTGTTGTTTGTGCAGCTTAGTCAAGAGTCCCTAATTGATGAAGTCGACTCAGATTCTGACGATTTAACTGTCAAGAAGAAACCTGTAAAAAAGTATGGAAAAAGAAAAATCAAAAACACTTTTCTTCAAGACTCGGAAAGTGACGAACCAAAGGCAAATAAGATTGTTATCATGCAGCTGCAAAAGAAGAAAAATGGGGGGCGAGTTTACAGCAAGAGACACTTCTGCCTCTACTGTTCAATGTCCTGCCACAAAATGTCCCGTCATTTGACTAGAAAACATGGAAATGAAAGTGACGTAGCCAGAGCATTGGCTCTACCTGTGAAATCTAAAGCACGTAAACTTCAGTTTGATTTGATCAGGAATAGTGGAAACCGTGAGCACAATTTTGAGGTTTTAAAGGCCGGCATTGGAACTTTAGTCCCAGCTAAACAGCCAAATTCCCCAGTTAAATCCAGTGAGTTTTTGCACTGTATAGACTGTGGGGCATTGCTTAAGCGAAAGTCGCTGTGGAGGCATGTGGCCAGGTGCCGGCTTTCA